GGGTCTTTGCAGATGTAATTAAGTTGATCTTGATGAGATCATCTGGACCTAAATCCAGTGACTGGTGGTAACCTTATAAGAGAAAGGAGAGGGAGATTTGAGACATAGAGATACAGGGAAGAAGTCCATGTAAAGATGAAGGCAGAGATTTCTGTGCCCCAAGTTGTGAAAAGCCAGGAGCCACCAGAAGCTGGGAGAGTCAAGTGTTCTCCCCGATAGCCTTCAGAAGGGAACATGACCCTGCTGACACCTTGATTTTAGAATTTTGTCCTTTAAGAACTGTGACAATATAAATTTCTGTTTTTTTTTTTTTTTTTTTTAAAGATGACCAGTAAGGGGATCTTAACCCTTGACTTGGTGTTGTCAGCACCACGCTCACCCAGTGAGCAAACCAGCCATCCCTATATGGGATCCGAACCCATGGCCTTGGTGTTATCAGCACCACACTCTCCCGAGTGAGCCACAGGCCGGCCCTAAATTTCTGTTGTTTTAAGCCACCAATTTTACAGTAATTTGTTATAGCAGCACTTGAAAACTAATACATGTTTTAACTTCACATGTTCTTGTAACCAAACTGACAACCAGCAAGCAAGAGAATCTATTTATAGGGATCCACACAGGTTACCTCCAGTAGTAGAGAGCAGGATGGAAAAGTTTAAGGAGGTAGGTAGACGGTAAATAGAAGCTATCTGACATAGAGGTAGAACCAATGGGATTTGACAGTGGATTGGTTTTGCATTTGTGTGTGGGTATGTTAGAAGAATTCAAAAATTAAATTCTGACTAACTTGTAAAATGCCTCTGTAACTAAATGTGCTTATTTCCCAGGGCATCCAGAACTCAGCCTAGTTAATAATCAACTGCCTACCGGCATTTTGCTTCTGTAATCTTGCTTGCCTGCCCTGCTTGTCTCTGTAATCCTGCCTGCTTGCCTAAGTCACATGGGTGAGAAGGAGCTAGAGCTCACAGCTGCTTGTCTAATACATAAGCTTATGGATCTCACCAGACTTGCCTAGAAAAATCCTGCCAAATTCATGTTCAGGGTCCCAGGGTTTCAGAACGAAAGTTAGGAAGTTCACTTGGGTCCTGTGTGTAATAAACCTTCTGACTCTCTGACTCCCACAAGTGTCTGGAGCCTTTCTTAAGAAGTTTGTTCCACAACAGGTGTTGGTTAAGGACAAGGAATTGTAAAGATTGAGCAACTTAATAGATGTGATGCTGCTTACTGAGTTGGGAAAGACTGGAGAAGTTGAATTTGAAGTTTTTTTGTTTTTTTTTTTTAAAGATGACAGACCGGTAAGGGGATCTCAACCCTTAGCTTGGTGTTGTCAGCACCACACTCAACCAGTGAGNTTTATTCTTTAGGCAGGCAAGTTACAGAAAAGGAACATAGGTGGTTACAAAAGAACAGTAAAATAATTGTCATGGCAACAGTCATTAGGTTTGGCTGCACCAAGGACATCTTCCCTTGGAGCCAGCAATTTTGCTGTGTTACAATTCTTTATCTGCAACAAAGACTTTAGCCTGGGGAAAGTTTTTTTGTCTTTCTCAAGCTTAACATTTCTATGTGTAATTTTAAAAAGTTAGGCTATACCTGAAACTACAGGGCTGGGGCCTGTGAAATACATTTACTTTATTAATGTTAGGACACTCCACAGTAATAAGATATTATAGAGGCAAAGAGAGAACAGTACTGACCAGAAGAACTTTTTGTGATGAAGGAAATATTCTGTATCTGCAGTGCCCAATATGGTAGCCACAAGACCCTGTGGCTCTTTGTGCAAGGAGGGTGTTAAAGTATAATGCCCTTCAAATTGAGAAGATACTTTGAGACTGAAGAAGGAAGCTGGCAGGTCCATTCAGTATTCAGAGATACTTATTAATCAGGATGACTTACAGACAAGGAAGCTGGGCCACAGTGAAGAAGCAGATGAGAGCTCTAACTGCAGGTTAGATAATGTTTATATAGCTAAAGCCCCTGTTACTAAGAATAACTTCAAAGAAAGCCCTTAAGAAAAATAACATAGTTCACCAGGTGTCTTGTGATCCATGAAGGGGGTGGTTGTTGGCTTGTGATATCTGTGCTCAGACCACTCATGCCACCTGCTGTGATAAGTTACTCGCTACCTGAACCTATGTTCGCTTTACATTTGCCCTTAGGTGTTACAGCATAACTGGTCAGTGAAACAAAGGTTAAATGAGGAGTCAGCATGGCAAATGTGGCACAAAATGTCACTGGTTCTGTTCACCCTCTAACAGGCTCTTGATCCCTTGAAATGTGGCTACAACTGAATTTTTATTTTATTTTTAAAAGTTTTTATTTACTTATTTTTGTTTTCTATTTTTGGCAGCTGGCCTGTACGGGGATCGAAACCCTTGACCTTAGTGTTACTAACACAGTGAGTGTTAGTAACCAACTGAGCTAACTGAGCAGCTCTGAATTTTTAATTTTAATTAATCTAAGTATAAATAGTATAAGCCACATTGGGAATAGTGGCAACCATATTGGACAGCACAGTTCTAGGATAAAGCTGCAAGTAGTTCCAAAATTTAAATTCATTATAGCAAAAGAGGAGTCCATAAAGGAAACTAGAAAAGAGATAGAAGGGAGGGCGATGTCCTAGAAGCCAAGAGAAGAGAGTGTTTTAATGAGGGGGAGTGGTCACTTGTGCCAGAAGATGCTGAAGAAGACTGAAAAGCATCTGTTAGATTTTGCAATGGCGAAGTTATTAGTGGTCTTGGTGGGATATGAAACCAGATAAAATGACATAAAGAATGATTGGAGTAGGAAGCATTTCTAAAACATAATGCTGTGAGGATTTGGAGCAACCAAAACTATCATATGTTGTTTTGGGAATGCAAAGTGGTACAGCCTCTGCAGGAAGAGAGGCTTATATAAAGTTAAATATACACATATGTGTGTGACCCAGGAAAAATAAAAACTTTGTTTATGCAAGCGTGTATATGAATATTTATAGCAGCTTTATTCAAAATTGCCCAAAACTTCGAACAATTCAGATGTTCTTCAATTTGTGAATAAAGCATTTGTGGTATATTCATGAAGTGGGCTACTTCTCAGGAATAAAAAGTAGTGAATTACAGAAACAGCAACAACATGGATAAACTTCATATGCGTTATGTGAAGTAAAAGAAGTCAGATTCAAAAGGCTATATGACATCCTAGAAAAGGCAGAATATGGGTGCAGAACACAGATTACTGGTTGCCTGGTATTGACGGGAAGGATTGTTTACAAAGGGAATTTTTGGGTGATGGAACTTTAGTATTAATGGTGGTGATATGACTATGTATTCATCCAAACTTGTAATTGTACACCAAAAAGTGATTTTTTTTTGCTATATGTAAATTATACCTCAGTTAAAACAAACAAACCAGAAACCTCAATGAGAGTAAAGTGATTACAGCATATAGACTTAAACTTTTTTTTTTTTTTCTGTCAACTGGCTGGTTGGTACAGGGATGAAACCCCAGACTTTGGTATTATCAGTAGCACCTTCTAACCAATGGAGCAAACCAGCCAGCCCTAGGCTAAACTTACTGGAGAAGTTTGTTTATGAGGAGGAGTAACTCAGTAAGATGTGGAAGTCAACAGAAGATTTTTCTTTTTTCTTTTTTTTTTTTTGGCAGTTGACCAGTACAGGGATCGGAGCCCTTGACTTTGGTGTTACCACACCACTCTCTAACTGAATGAGCCAACCAGCCAGCCGATTTTTTTTTGTTTGTTTTTAAGACAAAATAATAGCATAAATTGTCTGTTGATGAAATGATCTATTTGAGAAGGAGAAATAACAGGAGGGGGGCCAAGGCAAGAGGGATGAAATCCATCCTGTGGAAGTATTGATCTTTGCAAGGAAGATATACCTTCTCCATTTAAGAGGAGAATAAGGAAAAGATGCATGCAGTTTCTAGCTAAATTTGTTGGTGAGATGGTTTCATTTTTCTTAATGAAGTATGAATCAGATTCTGATATCAGTATAAAATGGATTTGAGGAACCAGTAGAAGATATGAAACAGTTCTTGCCAGATAATGGGGTAGAGTCCTGTCTTTAGAAACTGTAGGATTTGTAGCTACTGATAGCCCATTTGAAGTTAATGATTATGAATTTGTAGTGGCATGCTATGTTGTGTGAATCTTGCCCCTCTCCTTATATGCTTATCTGCTGGGTATTGGGATAGTGGAGTTCTTCCCGAGATAGTTTTTTTTTCTGGAGAATGTAATGGATGCAGGAACAAGGGAGTTGAGGGTATTTGTAATGGAGTTATTTATACTTGGACCATGGAGGGAATTTAGTGAGGTGAAAGTGGTGTGTGGGTCAATGAAGTGTTGCATGCTGAGGTTTCTGAGAAAGATATCAGTCTCTTTGACTTATCTCTTTCTCATCCCTAAATGCAGTGCCATGCCTTTCAAATATTTGTTGAATGAATGAAGGCTTTGGAGGAGAAAGGGACCATATGCCTCTAGAATCTCACCTTCCTGTCAGTTTCTTACTCTTCTATAGCACCCTGGGTGTATTACCCTTATAGGTTGTGAATATTTTTGAGAGTAGTAATAGGCCTTAATATCCTCTGGCACATAATAATCACTCAATAAATATTTGTTGAATGAATAACAATGTGATCTGTGCTTGAAACGTTTCAAATGTTATATTGAAATTGTCAGATTTCTTGGTTGTATTCTCTACTAAACTGTCAGGTCCCAAAGGACTAGAACTGTATCTTACTCATCACTGTATTTTCAGTTGCTGGCACAGAAAAAGGATTGATAGAACTTAATTTTTTTCAAGATACAACAAAAGGTACAACAGATAAAAAATCTTTTATTCAGTTAACAGTTGGAATAAGGTGGTTTCGTTACATATTAGAGTAAGGAGGATGTATTTTCAGATATCCTTGTCAAATAGGATATGTTATGGCATGACCACTTTTATGTTGAAATTTTGCAGATGTATTCTAACAGAGTTTGTTTGGTGTTTATTTGCTAGGAGGAGGCATCTCCCTACTCTTTGGTCAACCTCTGCCTGAATGTTCTGATTGCTAACCTGGAGAAATTGTGTTCTGAAAGACCTGATGGAACACTGTGCCTTCCTGAGCACTGGAATTTCCCTCAGGAAGTAGCTGATCGATTCCTTGGGGTGATGACTTGGCAAGGTAAATGATAAGGCTCCTCTACAGTAGGTCTACTTTTATAGCACTTTACTATTTGAAATGCACATTTACACACAATTCCTGTTTTGATCATCACAAATTATTTCCATTTTGTTTGTGTGGAGGTTGAATCTCAGTCATTCTGTGATCCCATGATGGAAATTGTCTGGCTTCTGGGCTCACCCTGCTATGGCTTCGCAGGTAAAGAAAGTGGAAAACTAAGTCAAGTTATTGCTCATCCATCTACTCTCTAGCTTCTACAATGCTGTTGCTGTAGTCTCATCTCGCATTCTTTTCATTATGGAGATGAGCAATTAAAAAAAATTTTTTTTTATCATTGTAGTGGGGTTTTAAAAAACTACTTTAAAAAAAGGGTGTGTTTTATTTGCCTTGTTACAGTTTTTTTCTTAATGAAAATGCTTGTTTATTTCTTATAACAGCTTTATTGATACATACCATACAAGTCACACATTTGAAGTATGCAGTTCAGTGATTTTTCAGTACAGTCATGTGTTGCTTAATGATGGGGATATGTTCTGAGAAATGCATTTATAGGGCATTTTGTCGTTGTGTGTGAAAGTCATTTATTGATACATACCATACAAGTCACACATTTGAAGTATGCAGTTCAGTGATTTTTCAGTACGGTCATGTGTTGCTTAATGATGGGGATATGTTCTGAGAAATGCATTTATAGGGCATTTTGTCGTTGTGTGTGAAAGTCAGAGAGTGTATAGTCGGCCTTCCAGGGGTTCAACAAACCACAGATTGAAAATATTCAGGAAAAGAAAAGAAATTCCATGAAGTTCCAGAAAAGCAAAACTTGAATTTGCTATGCACCAAGTACTACTTTGAATCCATGCAAATGAAGTGTAGACATTGTATTAGGTGTTAGGTATTATAAGTAATCTAGAGATGATTTAAAGTATATGGGGGTGCTGGCCAGTTAGCTCAGCTGGTTAGAGCATGGTGCTGATAACACCAAGGTCTAGGGTTCAGTCCCTGTACTGGCCAGCCACTGAAAAAAAAGTATATGGGAGGATGTGCATAGGTTATATGCAAATACTATGCCATTTTATATTTTCTTTTTTCTTTTTTTTCCTTTTTGTCTTTTTTACTGACCGGTAATGGGATCGCAACCCTCGGTGTTGCGCCTGCACCGCACTCAGCCAGAGAGCGGGAACCGGTCTCCACATGGGATCCGAACCCTCGGCGGGAGCGCCACTGCGCTCCCAAGCGGCGCACTCTCCAGTGTGCCACCGGGCCGGCTATGCCATTTTATATAAAGGACTTGGGTATCCTTGGATTTTGGTATGGAGAGGGGTCCTGGAACCAATCTCCCTCAGATACTATACTTACTATACGAGGGATGACTATACTTACACTGATCTATATGGTATAGCCTATAATATCAATTTTAGGTAACCTCACAAGGGTGAAGTGCCTAGGCATTTGGTGACTGAGGCTGATGATTGGGAATTTTGCTGTGTGGTTTAATGGATCATTATTTAAGAATAGAAACCTCAAGAGAAAACATTAGTTTTTCCCAGTTGAGGAGATGAAAATTATATCAGTGAGGTGTCATTTAAGTTTATATACTACTAATAATTTTTATTTAATAAAAGCCATAAAAGTTATAACAGCTAACCCTTTGGTAGATACTGTTCCAAAAACTTTACATTCATACTGTCATCCCTTTTTACACATGCCGAAACTATCCAAGCTAACATAGCTCAGAACTGGCAGTCAGGATTTGAACCCAGGCAGCCTGGCTCCAGGGACTAAATTGTTGTTGTTGTTTTTGTTTTTTTGGTGGCTGGCCAGTATGAGGATCTGAACCCTTGACCTTGGTGTTATAATATCATGCTCTAACCAACTGAGCTAACCAGCTGGCCTTAGAAACTAAATTTTTTTTCCCCCCAAAAGATGACGGGTAAGGAGATCTTAACCCTTGACTTGGTGTTGTCAGCACCACGCTCTCCCAAGTGAGCTAACTGGCCATCCCTATATAGGGATCCGAACCTGTGTCCTTGGTGTTATCAGCACCACACTCTCCCAAGTGAGCCAGGGGCCGGCTAGAACTAAACTTTTTTTTTTTTTTTTTTTAAAGATGCCCAGAAAGGGTTTTGTAACCCTTGACTTGGTGTTGTCAGCACCACGCTCAGCCAGTGAGCGAACCGGCCATCCCTATATGGGATCCGAACCCGTGGCCTTGGTGTTATCAGCACCGCACTCTCCCGAGTGAGCCACGGGCCGGCCCGAAACTAAATTTTTTTAACCACTGTGCTGTACTGCTTTAATATGTCCACTGAATTTATGTTGGATTTTTTTACCAGAATTTTACTAGGTGACTATTTGATAACCTTTTCATGAGACTTGCGGCAAATTTCTTTTTCTTTCTTGTTTTTTTTTTAAAATTTCATTTTGTCGATATGCAATGTGGTTGATTATTGTGGCCCATTACCTAAACCTCCCTCCCTCCTCCCTCTCCCACCTCACACCCAACAATGTCCTTTCTGTATGGTTGTCATGTCAACTTCAAGGAATTGTAATTGTAATGTCTTCTTCTCCCCCCCGGTTTTTTTTTCTTTTTTGTGTGTGTGAATTTATTTATTTTTATCTCCCAACAATAAGTGAGAACGTGTGGTATTTCTCTTTCTGTGCCTGACTTGTTTCACTTAATATAAT